GGAGCCACTCCTTGGTTCTCCTGGCTGTGTGCTTCAGGTCATTGTCATGTTGGAAGACCCAGCCATGACCATCTTCAATGCTCTCACTGAGGGAAGGAGGTTGTTCCCCAAAATCTCTCACTACATGGCCCCGGTCATCCTCTCCTTAATTCAGTGCAGTCGTCCTGTCCCATGTGCAGAAAAACACCCCAAAGCATGATGCTTCCACCCCCATGCTTCACAGTAGGGATGGTGTTTTTGGGATGGTTTTCATCATTCTTCGTCCTCCAAACACGTTGAGTGGAATTAAGACCAAAAAGTTCTATTCTGGTCTCATGTGACCACAGAACTTTCTCCCATGACTCCTCTGGATCATCCAGACCACGACTCCGAGAATACATGGGAGGACCTCGCCTGCCAGCACTTTCAAACTGAGGCTTTGTAGCTTGCTCCACTTTGATGGGCTTGCCATCAAGAGACTGAAGAGTTGCAATGTTAAGGTGATTGGTATGGTAACACTTGCTTCAAAAGAAAATAATAGGGGAATACTTTCTTTTTTTACCTTTCCATTCATTTCACGGGCTGCATCTTTTGCATCAGCAGGACTTTCAAAGGTAACAAAACCCCTTGACTTGTTTGTTTCACGATCCTTCATCAGAAGAACTGAATATGTAAATATAAGGTATCAACAGAGGTTGTTATTGAAACAATAATTTACACAAGCCAATACATTTTGCAAAGAGATAAACTTGAATTACTTCCTTCAAGAACTGGTTTAGTTTCATTCTACATTTCTTTAACAATACAAAACTGATAAAAGATTAAACCCTTCAGGAATAAATAAGATCATGGGCAAAATCATGTAGATTTAGATTTTTTTTTTATCAGTTTATGTTCTTAATATTAAATCCCAATGCCAAAACTGTGCTGCAAAATAAAGTTAAGTAATAATAACTACCGGTAATAAATGCAACAAACGAAGCTTCTCCTCTGGATCATTAAATGGTCATGGACAAACTTCAGACGGGCCTGGACGTGCGCTGATTTAAGCAGGGGAACCTTCGTGCCATGCATGATTTTAAACTATGACGTCTTAGTGTATTACCCACAGTAACCATGGAAACAGTGGTGCCAGCTCTCTTCAGGTCATGGACCAGCTCCTCCGTGTAGTTCTGGGCTGATTCCTCACCTTTCTTAGGATCACTGATACTCCACCAGGTGAGATCTTGCATGGAGCCCCAGTCCCAGGGAGATTGACAGTCATGTTTAGATTCTTCCATTTCCTAATAATTGTTCCAACACTTGATCTTTTTTCACCAAGCTGCTTGGCAGTTGCCCCGTAGATCTTTCCAGCCTTGTGGAGGTCTACAGTGTTGTCTCTGGTGTCTTTGGACAGCTCTTTGGTCTTAGCCATGTTAGTAGTTGGAGTCTCACTGATTGTGTGGGGTGGACAGGTGTCTTCATGCAGCTAACCACCTCAAACAGCTGCTTCTAATTTATAGGGGTGTAACGGTACGCTAAAATCACATTTCAGTTTGGTTCATTTTCGGTACATAAAAGACAAAATAAAGACTTACAAAATGTTTATTTTAAAAATATGCCAAGTAAACAATACGTTTGTATAAAAATAAATAAAAGCGACCCATTTGGATATTTTAAATAAAAAGCACTCTTTACAATAAATAAACTATACTAACAATAATGAAAGTCTTAATAAATACAATAACAGTCAGAACCAGAACAATAAGCAGCAACAGACTGTTCACAATCTAACTGATCAAGTTTTAATTTTTTGACCCAAAAGACGAACTTGTCCACATTTTCTGTCAAAAGCTCAGATCTAGTTGCAGTGAATATCTCCAGCGGTGGAGAAAACTGCTCACTAACAACAGTAGCAGGAATAAAGAGGTAGAGCTTTGATACTTTTGCAGTGTGGCTGGATTTGGCCTCATTACTCACAACCTCTTCTTGGACCTGCTCCCACAGGTGGAACAGGTCCCTGGAAAAGTTCAGAGTTCACTCATCACAGATTCTTAGCTGAAGGTGATCTCTGGTGGACTTCCCTGAAGAGGAGGAAGACTCAGCTGCTATCTCTGTCCCAGACTGGAAATAAAACACAAAGAGGTAAAAAAAAGAGTTAATAAGATGATAATTTTAAATAAAAAAAGTTAATTAGACAATAATAATAAAAGAACAATACCTCTTCTTGAACGGTTGTTATGTGGTGGTTGAATCTCTCGGTCATCATCATCAGGGCAGGGCTTTAATCTGGTCCAGGGCTTATTGACGATCAGTTTTATCTTTTTCATAAAGTGCTGCTACAACGTTTTGGCTGAAGTGTTGATGTGATGTCGTAGTGGGGCTCAATAACTTTAAAGCCGGTGCATCAACAACAGAAACGTAGATCCAGAGCTTTAAAAACTCCTGCAGCTTGTGTTATTGATCTGGACCGATCTGAATTACCTGATGAAGGTTGTTTAAATGATGCTGCTATCGGTGTTTGCAACAAGCTGCTTTTCTTGATTGTAGAAGAGACGTTCACGTTTGGATGATGTCGTTTCAAGTTGTTAACAAGTTGGACGTGTTGCTGCTGTAGATCCACTCTCTGTGAAACAACGTCGACACACAGCTTTGGATTTGTTCACTTGTCTTTTAACAAAAGGCCATAATGTTCCCAAACATGAGACCACAACAAGATGCTAGGCTGCTAATGCTAGCGTGCTACAATATAATAGCCCCTTGCTGAAACACGCTTGGGAATTTTAGTTCCGCGGCGCATATTCTCTCATTAATAAAATTTAATGAGTGAAAAAATAACCGAAACGAACGTGCTGAACCGAACGTGCCGTACCGAAACGGTTCAATACACCCACGTGTACCGTTACATCCCTACTAAATTAGAATAATAAGTGGAGTGGAGGTGGACTTCTTAGAGGAGGACTAACAGGTCTTTGAGGGCCAGAATTGTTGCTGATTGGCAGGCGTTCAAATACTCATTTGCAGCAGTAACACACAAATAAAAATTTTTTTTTAAATAATACATTGTGATTTCCAGATTTTTAAAAATTATTTTTAGATTATGTCTCTCACAGTGGACATGCACCTAAGATGAAAATTTCAGACCCCTCCATGATTTCTAAGTGGGAGAACTTGCAAAGTTGCAGGGTGTTCAAATACTTATTTT